AGTTCCCCCGGTCACAGCACAGATGTCTGATCTGTACGCCAAATACAAGGACGAGGATGGTTTTCTGTACATCAAGTACTCTGGCGAGGCCACATTTGGCAGAACATTATGACATCATCAGAAGCTCTTTTCCATCTCCTCTAATTTTTGTGTTCCACTTCTGATGCGACTCTCTGTTACCCTATTGAATACGTCTGTTAAGAGGAAAAGGGAAATTGTTTAAATCATATCAGTACTATAATTGCTTTCAGACCCAAAGTTGAAAAAAAGTGTATACGTGGTAAACAAACCTTTTATGGAATAAAGCTTTTTTCTGACATTTACTGGTATGACTTTTTACTATTCTGTGATTTATATGGTAATTTTTTTTTTGTTAACTTGTGTTTTGTTGTTGTTGTTAAAGGGACGGGGTGAGTGACTCCGTGGGTTATTATCCTTTATGTTTTTTAATGTTGGAATCCGGAGCTGAAAATAGTGAAGGAATGAAATGGGTTGGATTTTGTTGGAAAAAATACGTTGTCAGTGAAATGGTATCATCCACTTCATTCCAATGTGCTTTCTTTTTCATCTTATAGGTGATCGTGGAGGAGGTGTAAAAGTGTCTTGCGTCCGTTACAAACCTTTAAGTTCCCCTACAACGAAAAAAAGATGTTGTACCCTTTGTTTTTTGTTTTTTTTTTTTTTGTCATCGTCATGGAAACAAATAGTACAAGAGGGATCTAGTGTCCTAAGTACGTGGGAAATTGGGAAATGTGAAAATGAAATAAGGGAGAATATTATTTTTTTTTTGGATTTCGTGTATATATGAATGCCTTTAAAAGTGCTGTCCCAATCGGTCTTCTGCGTGGTGTTCTGCCCTCAAGAACATCCCAGTGTGCTCAATTCCATACTTTTTTTTTTCTTCTCTACCTTTTTTGCATTGCATATGGGGTTTCTATCAATTCTTTCCGCTTGCATATTTTCTGAGGGACAGTAGTAGTAAAGTCTGAATAATCCTTATAAAATCGAAATAGAAAAAAAAATGAAAGAAAAATTTCCCGGAAAAGTGATTCTCTCTGTTGAGGAAATTGCACATTGCTTTACAGAGTTTCATGTGTTTGACGTTCGATATAATCTCAGCAACAAAGATTATGGTATGAACGAGTACACAAAGGCCCACATTCCGCGAGCCACCTTCGCTGACCTGGACGAGTCCCTTTGCGGGCCCCTCACCAACACCACCGCACGCCATCCTCTGCCCGATGTACATGTGTTCATTGATTGGTGCAAGGCCAACGGCATCAGCCCGCAAAGGCCAGTGCTCTGCTATGATGATCAGTGCGGTGGAATGGGTGCTTGCCGTATGTGGTGGATGCTGCACGCCCTGGGCGTTGAGGCTTATGTGTTGAATGGCGGCTTTGATGCGTACCGTGCGGCGGAACTCCCAGTGGAATCGGGCCCACAGAAAGAAAAGCCGCAGCCAGTGGAAAGTTGGCCGTACGGCACTGTCTTTAAACGTGCCCTCACCATTGACGAGGTGCCACCGAATGCGTTGTTGGTAGACTCACGTGTGATGGAGCGGTTTTCGACTACCGTGCGTCCATATGCGCAGGACACAATGGCTGGACACATTGAAAACGCCGTGTGTGTGCCGTGGAACGCAAACATTGTGGTGGACAACCACCGCAAACGCCTTCGACCAGACGATGAGTGTCGCAGTAATTTACTGAGGGCCCTCAAAGGTGCATGGGGTGCGGGGAAGCCGGATCTTTCCAATTGTGTGTTTTACTGCGGCAGCGGCGTGACGGCGACTCTCAACATTGCGCTGCTGTGCCACTTGGGTCTTGGCGAGCCGTATTTGTATTGCGGCTCCTGGTCTGAGTATACGGGCCGCTTTGCATTTGCCATAACTCGTCACATTGTGGAGCAATACGGGATGTATTTCAAGATGCTCTCAGCCAACCTTGGTGAGAACCCAAAGGCGGCGATGAGTACTGCTCTCATTATGGTGGATGGATCGGTGGTGGACGTTACGGACGCTGAAGTGGAGTCGGCTGTGAAACACATGCATATTGGAGAAAAAGCAGAAGTGTTTTTTAAGAGCGGACGTACGGTTGTCATTGAAGTGACACCTCGTGTATAGGATAATTGAATACGTCGTGAAACTTCCCCTACCTCATTCTTTATTTCTATTTGAGTTATTTATTTATTTATGTACAAAGTAGAATGAAGCAAAACAATCACTTTATACGGACGTATATATATATATATTATTTCCTTTTTTCTTTTTACCTTATCTTATAACTCTTCTATATGGGGGAATATGAGCTGATGGCAGTTGCTCTACAGGGCGGATACACAACGAAAAAAAAAAAAAAGAGACAAAACCAAAACAGGTTATAATAGGGTAATGAGTTGAAAAAAGAATAAAATGGGAAACATACGTGATTCAATTTATTCATTTATAAATGTAATACATTCACTTATCTTCTGCTTGAATTGTAAATGATATCTCCATTATGTTTACCTTATATGCATGATGGGTTAATGATAAGAGTATGAGACTACACTATAAATTTATGATGTGATGGCTGTTGTTCTTTTGTAAGCTTTTTTGTCTCGTTTATTGTTTGTGGGGTTGCGAAGATAAGAATTATGCTGAGAAAACTTTAAAAACCATTTAATTTTTTTCACCTTTCTCGGTCTTACATAGCCCTTATTTCCTGCCCAGAGTGCAGAACCTGTACAAGTAATAAAAAAAAGAAATCACTTACACGAGCTACCGGGAGAAATCACACGTTAGGAGATGGAATGTGCCACATTTGAAGGTTTTATTCTACCTTTTCTGATAGAGTTTTTGATTGTTATGACAATGTGTCTACTCGAACTCATTTAGATAAACTGTGTCTTTCCATATTTGTTTATCATTTTACTATTCGATTATTACCAACTTTAGAAGTATAGTTTAGTAATAGAGAAAAATTATATATATATTATTTTTTATCTAGACGAGATGCTGCAGTAGAACCCCATTTGTGGTATGCTATCATGATGATAATGGTAGTTCCATTTATCGGCAATTCTCATGTGATAATTGCTGTATAAACACCAATAATATGAGCAGGGTTTTGCTCTTTTGCGCTTCATACATGTCTTTTGTAGTTGTTTGGCAAATGTTCCCGCACAATAGTGGTAAACGTACAGGCCATAGTATAGTATGGTTGCCTCCATTGGTGAGTTCTTTGAGTTCACCTTTCTTCGTACTTTTATTCCACGCATGGATATCTCTGTATGTCACTGCATGTGATGGAACTGTAGTTGGTACTCTGCTTCCCTCCCCCTCCCACATATATACACACACATTATCTCCTCATTGGGATACTGAATTTCTCAGTTGTGTGTGTGTGTGCGACACTTTGTTTTATTCTCCTGACAGATGTTGTGCATATGTACAGTCATAAATTCATTTCGTACACTATTGCTCATCCGATTGGGGTTTACAAGGACATTATTGTTTTCTCTTTCTGGTGTCTGTGGTATTCTTGCAGATTGTGGTTCCAGATCGGCTGGTAATCAGTGAGGGTTTGTTTAAATGTTTTTTGAGCCAGTTACTGCACTCTCTCGTTTGTTTTGTCTCTCTACTCTTTTTTTTTCATTCATTGTGATTTGTTGTTGCAGAAGTGACACTGCAATCAACAGAAAATCAAAAAATACAGTGAGAGAAAAAGGAGTAGAAGTAAAAGAGAGAATGGAGTTTCGTTCAATTAACAAGAGATTGATATCACTGTTGAACAACATACACATGATGAGGTGATGCCTAGAGAGGGCCCAGAGTGATGAGTGCTGGTCAACCTCCAGCAATGCAAACACCACTGTAGGGTGTGTGCTGGCCTGGGTGAATATTGTACGCAACAGTCAAGAGAGAGTGTGTTACCGAGTGGGACTATATTCTCACAGTGGTAGTTAAACTGATCGACTTATTCCATTATTATTTCGAAAGCATAAACATTGTGGATTTCAATGAAAATAATTGAGTGGGTCTCTCTCTGTGTGTTGAAGGATTCGGGGTGAAATTGAAAAGAGCTACTCCACCACAGCTACTGACATGGAAGACTGTGGGAAAGAGTTCTGCATATGAAAAAAAAATATAATAAATCTTATTCTTGGCTACTGGACCTCATCACACCCATCTCTAGGGAAAAGGGTGAATGGGGAATGTTTTGTATTTATACGAACGAGTGAAGGTGATAATTGTGTGGCGAATTGCTCAGGAATGGCCTGGAGAAATCTTTTGGTGATCGTGTGGGGGTCATTTGGGAACCCATGCAATGTGCACATATTGGGACCCCCTGAATCGAGAGGTCCTTTTCTATTTCATAATGCCTCTTCTGCCAAGCGGTGAGTGGGTAGTAAAGAAGATCACCCGATGTTTGCGTACTTCCCTTTTGGGATGGGTGCGTTTGCGTGAAATAAACTTTCACTCCAAAAAGAAGAAGCATTTCCATGATTTTAGCAAAGAAGAATGGCGCACCCCCAAAGCCTGTTGAGGGTCTGCATTTTATCTTTCCCATTTCTCTACAAACGGATGGGCATGGATCCAGGCATACAACTATTGCTCTCTTTTCTCTTTTTGGGACTACAGAGTAATGCCCTAACCCATTTAACGTTGCGCCCACTCTACGGTGTGTGTGGGCATATTCTTTTATACATTGCAATAGAAGCGACAACGATGCTGCTCTACGATGGTGCAACTCTTTTGGTGCACTTTGTATTTTTCACTTGGGTTGTGTTTTCCAGTGCGCAGAGTGTGTTGCAAGAAATAAAATAAGGTTTATGTTGCTGTTTTTGTGAATAGCCATTGTTGTTGTTCTTTTCCACATTATTGCATACTGATGATGATGAGAAGAATAGTATTGAGGCAACGCAGAGACGAAAGTGTGTGTTGTTTGTTGCACTGTCGCCTCTCTTGCAGTGATTTTCTCTGGTGCCTGAAGGGGAAAGGAGGGGAGATGGTGGACCTCACCAGGAGACCCTTTGTTAGTGTTAACATTTTTGTGCATGATGGAAAGGGAACGGGATTGTTTCTTTGTTGTTTCTTTTAATGCAGGACAGAAAAGAAAGCAGTGTCAAAGAATATCAACTGGACAACCAGTTGCAATGATGTGGATGAAATAAAATGATGTAGATGAAATAAAAGAATGAAACTGTGTTTATCGAATGCATTGCAGTGGTGTTCCTCTCAGTGGAGAGTGGTGTTGCACGTATTCTGTGACCACCCAAACATGAACATGTACTTGATATCTGCGTTGTGGTGAATAAAGGAGTCTTCTTCACTGCTGATTGAGTATTGATACTGCAGTGAAAAACTCATTGTGCATGAGGATTACCCTTATCTTGCAGGATAACAGACTGTAGGGAGTAAATCACTGTGGAATGACACTGAATGGAAACCCATGCTGTATATTCTGAGTTAAATACAGTGTACGTACAAATTGCTTTCTCTTGGTAACATGAGTCTCGTATTCTTGTA